GGCTTCGAGGGAAGCCAGAGCCTCCACAGATCCTGTGCACAGGCACCGATGTCAGTTTCTCCTCCTCAACGCAGCAGTGTGGTGGTGGTGATGGTGGCAGTGGCAGCAGTAGCAGCAACTCCACTCTGGGACCACAGGGCAGCTCCTCCAGGCCACTGGCCAAGAGGCAAGGTGAGAGGTGGAGAGGGATGTGGGCAGGAGGATGCAGGCATGGCTGCAGGGATGGGGGGGGTGATCAATAACATAATTTTCTATTAAAATGAGTCAACATTCATGACAAAATCTCCTTAGGATCTGTAGGACCATACTGCACGAGACACTGGGAATGTAGTAATAAATAGACAGCATTCCTGCTATCAGGGAGCTTATAGAATATAGCTTGAATATTCTGTTGAGTCCTGGTTTAAAGATATTTAATGAATGCTATTGAAATGGAATAATTTTAAGAATACCACACCTCATTAAATGGATGTTTTTCTAAATGACTACTTTGGCAAAAACAAACAAAACTCCAAAACTATTACATGTATTGCTTTCTGGATGTTTCTAAAAAGAAAGTCAGAAAAATATTAGATGGTCTTCATCAAATATGGGAATTATTATTCAGTAAGAAAAATCTGTTTGTATATGACATTTCAAAAAAGAAGTTAAAACACATTAAATAGTACTTTTTATTTAGATGTTTATAAGGCAGATCTATGAGAATGATATAAAAACATGGCAGGTAATTTGATAGCAATATTTAGTAGGCGACTACAGAGTTTTAGCAAATATCTATTACAGCGTTACAAAGAAGACAATATTTTCCAAGCAGATACAAAATATCCAATGAAAGACCAAGGCAAGAAAATGAGTATAATCAATTAACAATGGAAAATCAATTCTAATGTGAATTGCACATTATCCTTTAAAAACTTTTAAAGGTAAGGATTATTGCAAACTAGTTTATTCAAACAGTGTTAAACAATACCATGACAAAGAACAGAAGGCCAGAATGGATTAGTTTTCACTTCATAAAGAAACCCAAATTTACAATGGCTTAAATAAAGGAAAAGGCAGTCGAAGTAGTGAAGTAGTCAAGATCTTTTTAGTCTCTACCATGCCTTCCTTACGATGTGGCCTTGGTCCTCTTGGATATTTGCCAGGGCTCCTGTTATATCTACAATTCCAGCAGCAGGATGGAGGGATAAGATAAAGAACACATGCTACTTTTCTTTGAAGAGACTTCCTGGAAGTCACTCATCTGTGCTCCCACCTCTCATTGGCCAACCCTCAGTCACATAGGAACACTCAGCTGCAAGGGCAGTTGAGTAACGTGATGGGCAGCAGCTTTTAAAGAAGGAGGGTAATTAGACATAGGGAGACAACTTCCAGTCCCGTTCAGGCTGGATATCTGCAAAGTTATGAAAAGACCTTTCAGGAAAATCTTAAGAGAATACTTCCTTGAAGTTGGCAAGTTGTAAATCATGCAAAAGCACCTGCTTTGGTGACTTAATTTAGCCCATCTAGCTACTGGGAGAATCCATACAGTCTGCCCTAATTATGGATGATTGCACAATGGAAATCCAATCATTTGGAAAGTTAAAAAAAAATCTCAGTATGTACGTGTGTTAGACTGAACTAAACATTTTTTGCTATCATATGGACAGGATCTCTGAATATTAGCACTTTATAATTTTCTTGCATTAAAAAAAAATTGAAGAACTTATTCATTCCTGTAAGATTCACTGTTCAAAGGTATGAACAGATTGTATTTCTACTAAAATTATTACAGTTTCCTTTAGAGCAATTACGTATACTGAATATATACCAGAATTTGTTTTACTGACTTATGAACAATTGAGGATGGAGCATCTCATTTTCATGACGACACATCACAAATATTTGTAGCACTGCTTTAAGTCATGAATTTACAGAATAATTTCAAAATGACATTTCAGGCTGTTTAAATACTTATTTCAAAACAGAGATTTTATAGACTGACACAGATTCAGCATTTATTGTATTCCTAAAGACATACTTAGGAATGACATTTATGGTAGCATATTTAAAATATCACAGAAGAAACGTTAAATTTCACAAATAAACCTCTTTTTTGGGGGAAAACTCTGTATAGAATTTCTTAGGAAATAGTTTAATGGCAAAAGGCAATTAAAAAGAATTAAGGTTTTATCAGATTACATGAGATAAACAATACAAAAGTTGGATAAGATATATTCTTGAAGCCCTTTTACACAAATAATTTTCATAATTGGACTGTAAGTATAAGTAACTATACTGAAGTTACTATTATCAAATTAATTTTGAAAGTAAAATTCCTTAATCACGTCAAGATTATGCTAATTTATAAGAAATTAATCAGGTAGTTTAATAATGGAGCTCATTAGCCAATCCCATATGTAGCATAAAATAATTATCTCTGATAAATACCTATAAATATAATTTATTCATACTTTAAAATATTTTAAAATTTAAATAAAAATCTCTATATGTAGACATTCTGGGCTAAATTTCCATATATGCTTTGAAAAATATAGGTTAGCATGAATATATTCGTATTTAAACATGGTTTTAAATATTCTTAATAGAGGAGACATATGAAATCTGCATGCAAAAGCTAAATAGCATGATTCAGTCCATGATTATTTTCCTCTTAGGAGAGAATTACTTGATTTTTCTTTTTTGCATAGGATTAACACTGGGTATATTTTCTACATTCTTGTAATTTTCTCAGGGGCACTTCTCTAAATACAGATTAGGAAGCAAATCCTTGCTACGTTAAATTTCCCACTACTTTCTCACATCTACCAAGAGCAGAACTCAGTCCTACTTTTGAGGCCAGAGTAATGATTTAAAAAAAATAATTGTGAGAAATAATGCTTAAGAAAAATAATCAGGTAGGAAACAGTAAAATAAAGCAATTAAAAGTCAATTAATATTTTTGCATTTTTAGAATGGCTTTTAAACATTTAGAATTATAATGAATATATTACACTTATTCTAAACCTTCAAAATTATTTCATCTTTGTAGTACTGAAAAAAGGAGATATTACCATTTGAAACAGCAGTTACATTTTATATACATTTTCATAAACTTTGTTTTTCATATTTTCAAAGGCCCCATTTATCTGTAGTGATAATTCTGTTTATATTATCAGCTACTTAATATTATACACGCAACAATATACTTCAGTAGTCATCTAGTTTTAAAAATATTTCATTGTATTTTCACATTAAATGTAGAAAGCATGGTCTTAAGAGAGTGAGACTTAAGGAACAAGAAAGTATTGAAAATATGCTGTTAATTTCATGAGTCCACTACAATAGTTTATAGGTACCTTTCAAAGTTATCACCCAATGAATTCCTATGAAGAACTAACAAGTAAGTAATTATCAAGAGGGGAAAAATATAATTAAAATAAAGAAAATGGAGAACTCAACTAAAAAGTACAAGATATTAAAATTCACCAAGAATAGAACATGAGAGAATCATGGGTGATTTACCAAACTGACATGATGGAGTAGGAAAGGAGCCATTGGTGGGAAAGGCAGCCTCCACTAAGTACAACTCCTTTCATTTTTGGCAGCTAGATTCAATAGTACCTAAGGTATTGTAGTACCTTACAACAGTAAGTTTAGAAAAGTTATAATTTCTGGAAGAGGAATGCACATAATTGTATCTTGTCTGCAACTTCCTATTTTAATAAGGAAAGAGCACATGGAAAAAAAAATGTAGGGCATTCTAACCAAAGGTTGAACAAAATGCAATTTTAATGCAGACTGTCAGCACTGAAAAATTTTATGAATAATTTGTATGATTATATGTCTTAGAGTTGATTTATAACTAACCACTTATCCTACAATCCTTCAAGATTGCAAACTGCTCCCTAATGAATGACTGAGCAGGCAGGAGGCCTTCTCAGGAAGAGAAAAAGAGATGACCAACTCTACAGGGACTTCTTAACATTCTGTAGGACCTCAGCATTCATTAAAACTGCTATGGTGCTATCTCTGCTGGAGTCCCTCACTGCAAAGAGAGGCATATGGACTGTCGTGGGTCTCCAGGGTCATGTCCCAGTTACTCCAGGGAAAGTAACTGTGAATTATCCCACAAGCAATAATAAATTTATGATTGTAATATTTTCATACATCTTTTGACACCCACAAGCCACTCTAAAGAATGTCAAAGCCTTTATGCAAAGGAGGAAGCATCTAGATTGGCATCATGAATGTAATGCATGGGGATGGAGCATGTGCCATACAGCCTAGTGGTTAAAACCACAGCCTCTGAAATATGACTGCCTGGACTTGAATGCTGGCTTGGCCACTTACCAACTGCGTGACCTTGGGCAAATTACTTAACTTTTCTGTCCTTCTATCCTTCAGTTTTCTCATATGTAAAGTGAGGATAATAACCACCTTGGCATGGGGCTGTTGTAAGTACGTATGAAATGGGATAATATAAGTAAAGTGCTTAGAACAGTGCCTGGCATGTTGTAATCCCTCAATGAACAGCAGTAAAATCCTATACCATACAGAGTGGTAACTGGTGAAGGTGCAACAAGAGCAGTTGAAAAACAACTACTTGTGTGTAAACTTAACACTTCCCCTCTAACTAGAAACAATTATAAGATTCCCAGGATTGGTACTATATTAGAAAAATCAGTTTTAGAGGCCAAATATTACTGTCTTCTCCCTGATCAACATATAAATAAGCAAGTGAAACTGCTCTGTAACAAGATAAAGAATAAAATCTTTCATGAGGTACGCATCATCAGTTTGTATTTCATGTCTCCAGTGCATTCTAAGTATAATTTCAGGTTCAATTTGTCTTTTTAATTTGCATTTGTTCACAGATCACACTGGTTCATACAATTAATTACACTCTTCAAACCCTATATCATGAGAGAAATGTAGGAATGTTACCATGCACCCTTACCTAGATGCTAATGTAATGTGTCCTTTCTTAAAACTAATGCATGATTATACATTTCTATTTCTTAAGCTGGATAAATATTAAAACCTTATTTAAGCTTCAGAAAAAACATATATCCATTGAATTATATTAAAACTTAAAATTCTGCTGGTTTGCCAAGTTTTTTTAACATTATGTTCTATCTATATTATTAACTATAATATTTTTGCTTGATTATGGAATATAGTTTGTTAAAATAACAATAGTGTTACAGTTGTACAAAACAAAACATACCTAAATTTCAACAAGTTGACTACAAAAATTATATCGACAAAATATATGACATTTGTGAAAATTAATTTGAAGAAAATTCTACCACTCATTCGGTTGAGATCTCAGTGAACAGGTTTCAGCCCACAGCAATTTGACACTGCACTTGCAACTGAATATAAAGGAATTCAAAAAAATAATGGTGTGAGTAGAACTCCATATGGCATCAGTGAGCACCATTTATCATCACATTACTGTAACCCTCTCTGGTGAGAGATGAGGAACTCCTCCTCCAATACCTTCTTCTAGAAATTGGCTCTTTTCCCAGCCTTTTTTAATTCTCTTTAGCTTCCGGCTTATACATGGAAGGAGTAAAATGATCTTACCCAGAATTACAATTGAGGGCAACACAAGAGCAAGAACAAAGTTTGGTGGTGTATAAAACCTGTAGTACTCTTCTTCAAAAGCTCGTTTCCATCCATAAATTAAAACATGGAAAGTACTTATGAGTAGAGCGACATATCCTAGTGTAGACTTGGGGTAGGGGTGGAAGAAAAAGAAAGAAAGAATAAGAAACAAATTATTCAAACTCATAAATTAACCCATCCAGCTATACCATGTTTATATTTTGATGAAACTATTTTGTCTTAAATTATTGAGCTACTTTTTGTTCTCTACCGAACTAGAAAATTTTAATATTTCATATATATTTATATGCACATTTTATTTTATACAAATAAGGCCATATTACATACAGTTTAATATTCTCATTATTTTATTTATTAGATCAAGAACCTTTTCCTCATGTCATTAAATATGAATACATGACTTTAATGATGTATAATATTCTATTAAATGGATGTGCTATAATTTACTTAACCATTCTTTTTTGTTGATCATTTACTTTGTTTCCAACTTTCCTCAACCATAAATAATATCACTTTAAGCCCTTGCCTATATTTTGGTTTATTTCCTTAGAACTGATTTCTAATAGTGGGATTATGGCTCAAAACATTTGGCTTTTCCTTAAGGGTTTGATAAAAACCGCACAACTCCTTTATAAAGGTTATCCACATTTCCACCAGTTGTGTATAGTAAAAAAAAAAAATATGTATGTGTGTGTACACACACATATATATATATGTACATATATAATAAAATTAAATGCTGAAGAGCATTCTCATGGGTACACACACACACACACATATACTAGTTGAAGGTAAATATGAAAAATTTTATAGTGTTAATATGTAATATAAGTAGCATTTCAAATGTGGCTTTATTGACCATATTAAATGAGATTATTAAGAGTACTTCAGTTAAGTAGTTTATAGGTTAAAATTGAAAAGGTCAGCATTCTAGGTTCCCTAAATTATTATGTTCGATTGCTTTGAGAAATGGTCTATGTTACACAAAACATAATATTACCAGTATGATGATGTATGTCTAACTTCATTGGGAAAGGCTCAACTCTCTAGCAGAAAATTGTTTTGTTTGCAGTTACTCATCTAAATTTATAATGATAAATTGCACCTGTCTAGCACCTTTTATCAGAGGGCTTTCTATTTCTTTTCAGGTGTGATTAAACTAGCAGTTGGGGAAGTATTCACATTTTTTTTCCTGCAAAGGGAAAAATGAATTTAGACAAGGGATATGTCCTTAATTTGAATGAGACTTTTAGATGACTTAAAAAAAAAACAAAAAAACCTAAAAAACCCAAGCAATAGGCAAAAAAACCCCCCAAAATTTAGTGTACCACCAAACGACACTCATCTGCTTATTGTGCTATAAACCACTTGGATATAACCAATACTGATTTTGTAATAATATAGGTAGGGTCTATGTTTGAGTTATATATTTTTTAAATATGCAAATTTATTTTATATATACATATATATAATATAGCTATTAACAGAGAAGATAATTAACTTATTAAAGAGCACATGCTGTTCTGAAACTCCTTTATAGACACTCATATACATATATATACAACTGATATACTAAATACATATACTTACAAGATTCATAAGGCTAGTTGCTTGTCATAATCCATTAACATAATTACCTAGTTTGCCACTGCTTGTGTTTGTGTGTGTATACACACACATTTCTTTTAAAATATTCAGACTGACCTCCCTACTTAAATTTAAATTAATGAGATTTTTCTGGAGAAATCAAGATGACTCTAAATATAAAATAATTCTTCATTCATTTGGCTAATAATAAATTGACTTTTGGCGTTAAACTTGATCTAAGCTTACTCATCCCCTGCTTTCATTCTTTTTCTTTTTAAAATAACTTTTATCCAAAGAGAACAGATTAGTGGTTACCAGAGGGGAATGGGTAGGGGGGTGGGTGAAAGGGTAAAGGGGCACATATGTACAGTGACGGACAAAAAATTAGACTTCTGGTGGTGAGCACGAGGAAGTCTACGAATTGATAAATAATAATGTACACCCCAAATTACACAATGTTATAAACCATTATGATCTCAATAAAATTACTGGGGAAAAAAATAACTTTTATTGATAACATAGTAGGCAGTGTTATCAAAGCCTTCCAGTAGGATCCTGTATTGGTCTTTCACTTACTAAACCAGAATGGTCAGTCCAAGGTGGCCTCCAGCAATATGTGTTCACTGAGCTAGATGCCTAACACAGCCCCAAAGGAACTCTTTTATAAGAAGCATATTTAAAATTCAACTGTACTTAACACTTAAATTCTATGCTGCCCAATCCCTCACCAAACAAAACCCCACATACCTGAATAAAACTGAATTCCCTCCAGTTTAAAGCATTGCTCACTGAAGGGATGGAGGTGACTGCCAGGAGGGAAAGTAAGCCAAGACTCATTATGCCAAAGGAGATGTACATTTCAATTCTCCAAACTTCTTCTTCGTTCCAAGAGTTTTCAATATTCGCATGAACCTAATAAGAAAGCAAATATGAATTTCCTTTGTTTGGTAGAACATTAACTGATTCAGCAAAGAGTTCACTGTTAGACTAAGAATACGTCATATGTGGACATATTTAAGTTGTATTAATTGAATTTAACAAACTGTTATGGAGAACATATTACTGGATGGTATTGTTCCATTGTGGCGGAAAGAAAAGGGAGAGTTAAACAAAAAAATTTTTCTCAGATTTTTCTCCTTTCTTGCATACATGTGAGAAGAGTGGGTGAACTTCTCACCACATTTGTAATACATCACGGTTACAGGAACTCATGAAATGCCCAGTGGTTGCTTCCAGGACAATACCAAAGAAATGTTGGCAGTTAGACTTACTTTTGAGGTACTTTTACAAGTTGGTTTAAACTTGTGTGGAATAAAATGAAATCAAAAAGACCCCTGAGAACTAGACGGACTCTGTGTGGCTAACCAGGACCTAAAAACAAAATAGAGTCAAGCAGCCGTGACAGGACCAGGATGCAGTCGCATACTCTGTTCTCACACACACAAAAAACCCAAAGCACGCTTAAACTTTGACTCTACCAAAGTTCCTGATTTTACAAAAGGCCCTAACAGCCACCTGGACCTACCAATAACACCGGACTTGCACCAACCAATCAGGACGAACCTGGCTTGCCTCCTTTATTGGCAGAGCAGACCTGAGTGGGAACCTGGGTGGAAACTTTTTCTATAAAGGCAGCCCCCTTTCTTTGTTCTCCCCATGAGTACTTCTGGTTTGCCGCTGAAGGCCACGTCTCCCCAGTTTCCAACTGTGTGAGCAATAAAGCCTTCCTAACTAAATGCTTGTATTCCAGATATTTTTTGTTAATACTTGGTTGACTATTTTGGGTACATTCTGACCTTAGTTCAACTTAGAATGCAGGAAGGGAATTTCTAATCTACATCTGTATCTTCTCTCACATGAGGAATATTTATATGTTGATTTATTTCTTCTTATCTTCTTTTCCCCAGGACACTGAGATTTCCCTGAAGATAAAGCCCTACCGAATACAGATATTTATCCACTTGAATTGCCTCATTAATATACTTTGCTGACTGTCCAATTGGCTCATCCCAGTACAGTTCTTTTCCAAATGCCTTTCCCTTACATTGATAATGCATATATAATCAAGGCAGATGTGATTAACTCTGAATGTGTGGTATTCTGAGTAGGGTCTACTTTTAGAATTGTCTATTTACATGCAAACAATATAATTAGAGTATAAATCAAGGGTTGGATTCCTTGGGCTAAAGTTTTGATTTTAAATAAGTATCTATTCATGGAAAACAGGTTCTAACTTAACACCAGCTTAACTTTGTCCAGTTCCATTTTACCAAATATACTTGAAATTAAAAAAAGGGAAAGCTAGTTCTTAGCCATTCGGTCTCTGGAGCAATCATACCAACATCCTGAAAAAATCCACGAAGCTCCTCTGTGGAAAAAGACTCTTATTATCTCGTTTGATGCCTATACAACAATACAGAATAACAACATACTTCAGTATACCCAGAGATTACAAACTGGGTCTACCTGCCCATCCCACAAATATGCTTTTCGAGTGTCTACTATGTGCCAGGCACAGTTCTAGGCATTAGGCATGTATCAGTGAACGATACGGACAAAGATCCCTCCTTTCATGAACCTACATTCTGACGAGAGAAGGCAGACAACAGTAAATATAATAAAAAGGAAAACATCAAGTGTGTTAGAAGGTGGTAAACGCTATTGAACAGAGAAAGCGGTAGAGCAGAGGAAGAGGGACTGGGAGTACAAAGGTTGAGTCGGAAGCAGGTAGCAGAACTTAAAATAGTTTCCAATGTAGGCCTCATTGAAGAGGTGAGATCTGAGCAATTGACTTGAACGACCAGCGAGGGAGTGAGTTGAGCAGATATCAGAGCCTTAGTATTCGGTTAAGAGAAGTGGTGTTTTTAGAAAGAGAATGGCTTAAAGAACATCAGTGTATTAATTTTTTTCAAATTATTTTAGGGTGAAATGGTTGAAACAGGCATAAGTACTAGATGCTACATACTTGGATCATGATGCCTTGGTTACTTATAAAATACAAAAGCTTTTACACATTTGTTTTGGTGCAGTGTCCTTGGCTTTCACTGAGAAATGCTACATCAAATAGCTTCAATGAAACCCTTTATATTACATTTGCTGAATGGGAATCACTGAGGAAAATCAGTCTACTCCATCATCAAGCTCCTTCCATGAACCTCTCCCTGAGATTTTCTTGAAGAACGAAGTGCTAGAAAAGCTTCACCTGAGGAACTAGTATTTCCTGCTTTCTGACAACAAAACCTCATAAGCATATGTCTCCTGATCTTGACTTCCTATTCTGTTTTATATTTTCACTAGTTCTAATTTTATTGTATATGTTTACTGAGAGTTGCCTTATCACTTTGTGGAACATGGCCAATTATAAAACATTAAAAGAATTAACTGTTCAATGCTGAGAGCAATCGCTGTAATAGTAATATGAAAAGGAAAAAAAAAAGAAAAAACCCAATCCTTTATTTCTCTGCTATTATTCTGCAAAGAAAGGGATGGTAGCAGCTTTTACCCTAAATTATTTTGAATTAGCCACATAATTCTTATGCAGAAACATTGTTTAAAGAACAATTCTTTCCCCTCCCTAAGTATACCACAATTTCTATTACAAGGTATCAAAAATTTTACACTATTTTAAACCTGATGTTTTACAAATTATACTAATAAAGTATTTTACTAGCATCAGATAAACAAGCACGTTCCATACCTGCTGATAAGCCATGTTGAGAATCAAGTATCTCTCTGACCTTCTCATTGGTAAGCAGAGGCTGTAGGCAACATGGACCGAAGCGAAGAAAAAACTTAGTAATCCAAGCTGTTTTCTACACTGTAACCAGGTCTCCAGCCAAGGTGGAAATCTCCTATACTTGGTGCTGTAATAAAGCTGATAGGCAGCTGCCAGGAGACCTGCTAGGTATACCAGGGACAGCAAAGTAATGGCAACTATGGGCAAGGTTTTATTCACAATCTCAATAGGAATCTTGTAAAAGTCACTCTGCTGGTTTCTAGCATACGGATGGATCACATCTCTGACAAAGGAATAAAGAAAAAAGAACGTGGCCAGGCTTATGGCGACCACCACTGGCCCTCTCCAGAGAGTAAAGAGTCGCAAGGGTAAATTTTCAATCTCCTTTGCTGATGATAATGATCCCAAGTCAACGGGAACAAAATTCAACTGACGGGCAAGTTCAATAACCTGTTGCCGAGCTTGAATGTTGTTGCTGCATATATAAACCTGCGGCAAAAACAAAAGACTCATCGTTACTATTGTTGTTTACAAAAATGGTACGGATAGCAGGCTCCATTTAATCTATGGAGCATCACATGTGATGACCCTGAGTGATGCAAAAAGTTAAGGAGATAAAGAATTTATTAATTTATTAATCTATTTACTAATCAGTTAAAATAGTGTCATAGAAACAACAAAGTCCTTGCTACTTGTGATGACATAAATAAAATGCAAAAAAATCTAGCTAGAACCTGGGATGGGGATGTCCTCAGGGGAAGGAAAGCAGGAGGAAAGAGATTTCTCGACCACATAGTTCAGTAGCAGTGGCAAGGTCCGGCCTCCCCTCCAGTGGTCTAGGTGGAGTTTGAGCTGCTGGCCATGCCCCTCCCCACTCCAGCTCTCTCACTCCCGCAGGAACAGGGTGGGGCTGGCTCTCCAGGCTTTATGGACAATATTTAGTTCTGGGACTATAGTGATTCTGCCTAGTAGAGTGATTGCAAGCAGTGCCCTTCACAGATATGCAGCAAGAGAGATGATGGGCATGGACTCTGGATAGTTGAATTTGCAATTAAAACTTCTAAATTATATCATGATGCTATACTATTTATCAAATTTATCTTTTGGCTTAGAAACCAATTCAGCAAGTATCTCTGAAAAACCATAGATATTCTCAAGTATATTATTTAGTTGGTCAGAATATAAAATTCTTTCATCTTTAAATGATGATAATATACCTGGTGGGGGAAAAAATGGTATTATGAGGGTTAGTTAATTTAAATAGTAAAGCAACTACCATTTTCTAAGACTAAGGTGCTACTTCTACAGGAACTCTAATGATGTGATGGGTGGGGGTAAGGGTGGGCTTTCAAACTACCAAAACCTCTTAGTTACAGTACTGTAGTTGAGAATTCAACAAATATTTGTTGAGCACCAAATTCACTGCTGGAGTGAGCCACTGTTATTTACGGGTGGTCATCTCATTTAGGGCTAGGAAAATATTGCTATAAGTCTCTGAGTAATGTTTGGGGAAAACAAATTCCTAAATATATCCCTGAAGATGTTTATATAAGGACTCTGGAACAGACCACACTGAAATATTTGCATGCCAAACCTATTTACATTATGCTGACAAGGTAGGGCTCTCTGGATTATTGATTTTACCTAACATTAGCCAGATGAATGACAAAGTGTATGCTATTATACAAATGTTCATTAACTTCTAAAATGGAGTGGGGAAGAATACCTATGTACCAAAGAAATAAGGAAATGCATTCTAAGTTAATTTATTACAGTTGTGACAATGGTGAGTTAAACTTTTTTTTATTCATTGGAAAAAAACTCTATACACTAAAAAATTTTAAAATAAACCTAAGAGTATAAATCAAATATTCATAATAAGGGCATGAAGACTATGAAATACAAATGAAACTATTTCTGTAGCTCACTTTGAATGTAATCACTGTTCTACAATTTTTTTTTGTTAAAGAATTAAAATTATCACAAATATGGGCAAAGGATTAAATTCAGGTTTATCCTAATCTGTTTGGTCTGTATCCATTGCTAAACTTTGGTGGATATGCGAAAGAAAAAAAAAAAAGATTCAGAAATGGCCTCTAGGAAAGTTGGAAAGTATATATTCTTTTACCAGTCTTCTAAATTAAAGACTTGAAAGTGAATGGTTATCATGACTCTGATATGCAGTATACAGTGATACAACACTTAAATTTATTCTCTAAGGCATCTAATCAAGTGTCTCTATGGACAAAAATAACAAAAGTATTTTATTATCATGTTTAATTATAACGCATAACCACACCTTTAAAAGATTTTAAGATGCACTATTTTATATCTTTACTTACAAAACTCTCATTCCACAAAGGCATTGACGGGGCTCCCCATCTGCTTTATTCTCAAGTTGAACTAGATAGAACCTACAGACTTGTAGACTAAAAGAGAACCTAAGAAATCCAATCTGCCTCTACCTTCCCCACACAGATTAAAATCTACACTTAAAATGAAACAAACTGTACTATTTTAAATTCTATGAATAATCTACATAAAATAAAAAGGTACTTCTAAAGCATTCTTCTTGAGGATCATACTAAATAGTATTCATACAGAGATGGAACATTGTGTTACTAAATAGTTGCGAGGGAGGAAGAAAAGGAGGGAGAAAGGAAGGAAGGTTGGGAGGGAAAGAAAAAAGACGTGTTCTATTTTTGAGGAAGCAAGGAGAGACTCAAGCAATGTGTCCCATTATTCATCAGCCAACCTTGTCTTTTTCTGAGTTAGCTGGTTATGACAGGAAAGTCCAAGTTATTTTCTCAGCTTTCCACATTATTTTGGGAATAGAAATATGCCCTTACAAGGTCAGAACATGAATTTTCAGGTGCTCAGACATAGTTTTTAAAATTATAATCATTGGAGAGTGCCAGAATTTGGTTTTTAAATATATGACATTTGTTTAATTAAGTACAAAATACCAGATAAATAAGAAAAATATTTAAAAATACATACCTGCCGGCTGGCATCCTTAGGTCCTAACTGAAGTGCCCAAGCTGAGACAACATTAAAGCCTTTGACAACCAAGGAATCCGGGAATAATGAAGCCAGATATTCAGCATTGGATTCTGGGTATTGGTTTATCCTCATGTTATTGCTCACATCAATCAGGATTTTACCCACAAGCAGATGTCTTAGGTCCCACAGGGAGGTGTAATGTTCTCTATGTATAGCAACAAATATTATATTTGTTTTTGTTAGAGCATCTTCATGATGAGTGACATCTACCACATGAGGAAAAAATTCAGAAGCAAACTTAGGATTCCTACTTCCTATGACCACATGATAGCCACATCTAATAAGTCGAATGGTCAGAGATTTAGCAAAATCCCCACTTCCAATTACACCTACAGTGACCTTCCTTGCATCTTTGATACCATTTATGCCATTAGGCAAAAAAGTTTCGCTAAGGCTCTTAGGGCTTCCCATCATAGAGATCGATTCCATGATACGGACTCCTCCAAGATCACCAGGGATATCCTAAGGGACAGAAAATAAAATGTTCATCAATGATCTATTACCAAACATTAATACACTTCTAGACATCATAATAATGTCCCTCATTTCTAGAGGTAAAACATTTTGGCAAGCTTTATAACCCAGAACGCAGCAAGACACAATTTGTAAGCTATAAAAGGATCTCAAAATAGAAAATGAACTGTCACAAAGTTGATGTGCTAAAGTGGGGCTTCTCAAATTTGAATATGCACATGAATCACCTGAGAATCTCGTTAAAACGCAGATTCTGATTCAGCAGGTCTGGAGTGAGGCCCGAGATTCTGCATTTCTAATAAGTGAGGCTGATGCTCCTGGTCTGCAGACCCTTCTTTGAGCAGCAAGGCACTACAGCACAAAAGGAAAGAGATTGACGTTTTGACCTAGAACTTTTTTAAAAAGACAGTTCTAACAAGTCTGACTACCCACTTTCTCAGCAGATCAGAGGCAGCAAGTCAGAAGTGCTGCTGGAGGTAGAGAGGACCGTGAGGACGTGAGAGCACACAAGACAACAGAAGATAGAAAAATCATAAAAGACAGCAGTTTAAACGAAAACTGTCTAGAATCATTTGGGGTGGAATCTACAAACTATCCTGTACACCTCAGCAACTAGCGAGGGACTTGATTAAATGAGAGTAAGGTAAACCAGCTAATAAAGAATGAACCTTAAAGTAAAGAATACTTTAAGAAAAATAAGTACCAAAATATAGCAAAGGATGAATTAAATACCATTAACTTCTATCATTCACCCTCTATCCTGTACCTTATCATTGAGAAAGATAGCTTCCCTATGAAAAGGGAGTTAGTAATGTGCTTATGGCCTTAAATTACACAATCCTTATGAAATCTTTTTCTTCCCCTGTTATTCGTTGGCTGCAGAGAATATAATGAAGTTATTCTCCCTGGAAAAAATTGTCAAATTATTTTTTATTTAAATGATTAACGTCTGAAATGTTCATATTTGTAATAACTTGTTCAAGAACACCAATCAGATTGCCGTGAATCAGTGTCGCTGTTAGATCTGAATGAAAAACACTCTTCCATCCCATCCCCACTGCACAATTTCTTTTATGCTGACAGCAGATGTCGATCACCTCAGAGGATTTAACAGATTTTACAGGAGCAGGTGGAATGTTTCAAAAAACATGTTTTTGGGGTTTTTACTAAAGGAAATTTGAAATTACTGGAGTCAGGAAAATTCAACTTATTACCCTAGAAATGGAGAACATTCGATTTCTATCTTTAGAAAGGCAATAATAATACTACCTAATACTCATATAGCACATACTGTATGCCAACTCTGCGCTTTACATAGTAACTGATTGAATCCCCACAACCACCCAGTGAGATAGGTGCTAATTTTATCAGGCCCATTTTGCAGATGAGGAGACTGACACATAAGGAAGATAATTAATTTGTCCAAGGTTGTAAGAGAGAAAGTGGGGGAGCCAGGATTAGAACCCAGGCAGTCTAGTTAAGGCATGTGTCATTTGGGTGCATGTAAGAAACTTAAGAAAGAGCTTTTTCTTGGGAAGGGGGGGGGGCAAGTTAGAAGAGTTATGGTTGTGCACATATTAGTACATTCTTCCTTCTTCTTTGGCCACATCATTGCTTTTCAGCATTACCTAGTGATCTTAATGTCTAACTTAGATCTTGGGAAAGGAGAAAACTATTTTTGAATCTATTACACGTGTTTCATTTCACACTTTTCAAGACAGAAGTGGTGGTAATATGTGCTTTCCCTTGGAGTGATCCTATGCACCCAGAAGGCCAGGTCGGGGTTAGAGGCAGCAGGGTAGAACAAAGCCATCAATGTCTTGGGAATCAGGAGCAGTAAAAGGAACCAGAAGTAATTGATTTAATCATTTAAATCAACACTCATTTCATTCAACAATTCAAGGTGAACTGACCAATTTACCCCTAACCGTGTATGTTATCTAAGGGTGAAAAGGGTTACTAGACTCACACCCAGGAGCCCAAGGTCTCTATATCCCAGACCCAGTTCTTCTGAGTAGAGACTGTAGCATCTCTCAAAATATAAGAATTACAAAATCTTTAAGAATCAGGAGGATCAATACCCTTTCAAACTAAAAACGAAACAAAGGCAAAACACTATCAGTTATCTGTATTTTACAAAACAAGTTTAAATCTCTTTTGTAAATCAGAATGTGAACACATAAAAATACATTAGGACCTAATAACATCACCTATGGGCCCCTCATTATACCATGTAATTTATACATTTTAACGGGTGACTCTGCTGTAACATGTTTGGGCCTTAATCACACTGCATTTCTAATGGCAAGTTCTAACCGAACCCTTTAATCATATGACTGTGGCTACAAATAGAAGCTGGCCTAGGGGCTGGCCTGGTGGCATAGGGGTCAAGTTCTCGTGCTCCGCTTTGGTGGCCCAGGGTTCACAGGTTCAGATCCTGGATGCAGACCTACACACCGCTCATCGAGCCATCCTGTGGCAGGCGTCCCACATGTAAGGTAGAGGAAGATGGGCATGGATGTTGGCCCAGGGTCAATCTTCCTCAGCAAAAAGAGGAGGATTGGCAACAGATGTTGGCTCAGGACTAATCTCCCGCACCAAAAATAAATAAATAAATAAATAAATAAATAAATAAATAAGCTGGCCTAATAAATGAGACTCTTTTCATTATAGTTTTAAGGAATATAAAAGTATTCATGAGACAGAAAAAAAATAGATCTGAGAAATGGATTATTTGCATATTGCTGAAAGCATATAATAATACCATATGCTTATGTGCTATTTCATAGTTCACAGTGTTTTCATATATATTATTTAATTCTCAAGTGGCTGTGGGGTACACATTATGCCCATCTCTAAGATGAGGAAACACTGGCTCAGAGAACTTTAGTGATCTGCCTAAGACAGTGCAGTTTGTAGTGACAAAACCAAGTAAGAGTCTTCTGACCTCTGCTCATTCTAAAACTGCAGTGTAAACATTATATGGGGGATCTTAAAACTGTTTAGATCTCCAAATGTCATCTGTAACTATATTCTCTAAAAGCAATACTAACTTTAAATGGTTAAAATATGAATCTCAGTTTAGGATAGTTTTAGGTAAATCCAAAGCTATAAGCTTAGGAATTCTAGCTACAAAACAGATAAAATATTGAAATAATTCCAATTTTTGGATTAAAACCAACCAAAGACCTAAATTTATCAATACTACAAAACAAAACGTGATTGGTTGCTGTGTAACTCTTGAAGAACCCCAGATAGCAACTCATTTGTTTTTTGGGGACTCTGCAGACACCATGAAGGTGTGTATTGCTTTTAGGGGGGAAGGAAGAAGAAAAAGCCAAGAAGTGTGTCTGTATCCTATGGAACTCTCCCATACACAGACATAAGCGCAACTCATCTCCACAAGCTATGGGTAACTATTATCTGGTGCTGAGACACTGGAGCAAAATCGCATCAATCAATTTATAATTTGCTAAGCTACCATTTTGGATCACTTGGTTAATAGCTGAGCTGAAGCTAACACTTGTGATATCCATAGAAAATGGGGCTATAAAAAGTGAATAATGTCAATATCTGAAGAAGGTTTACCTATTTACAAAAAAATATACTAAACACCTTACATTGTACATTTCCATTGACAAGGAATGATGCAACTATAATCTAAACGCAGATCTACCCTGCTGTGACCCAGCCTGGATTTATCCAGGCCACTGTGTGCTTTGCACATGAGATAAAGAACAAGAGAAGCATGACACTTACACTCAGGGAATTTACACTCTGGTTAGGAAGAGACAGGATGTACTTGGGAAAAAAAGCAGAAAAAACCCTCACATCAGCATATAATTAAGAACGCGATTGTATGATTAGAGCATAGTTACCCTAGAAAATTAGGGAGAGGAAATATCACATGGTTTTCTCTTAACTCAAGTCATTCTTTCATATATATATACATATAAACAAATAAATAAAATTGTACTTACAAAATAATCTCTAAATTATACAGAACTTCTTCAAGCCAGGTTGACAGTGCACTACAGGTTCATTCTAGGACCCAAATTTAAATTTGGCTTTCTGTGACCTTACCTTCAGAGTGTGAGGGCACTGGTTCCCAAACAGGAAGTTGTCACTGGTCTACAGCAATTAAAAAGTATACAGAGACAGCAGGGAGTTTTTCATAAAATTATTCAACTTAAATTGTCCTTTATTCTGAGAGTATGTCTTTCCTACTTTTCTGGGTCAAAATGTCCATCTTTCATAAAATAGTGGTAACAGTTGTTTGAGTTGGCTGTCCTGTATAGATCCCCTCCTTCCTTTTTATGTTACTGGTCCGTAAAATCTACGAGTCTGGCGCCCACTGAGTTAGCAGACATTTGGAAGCTCTCTATATGAAAATGCTCCTTAAGCCTGTTGGAGAGAAAACCTTTCTGGAGAGGGGAGAAAAGTATCCTGGAGCAAAGCTTCCTGCAGCTGGAAATGGTTGCTTAATACTCAGATGAAGACATTCTGGAGATGAAATATCAAATATCCCAATCTAATTTCTGTAATTAAATGGTGATTTTTACTATCACGACCTTGGATTGCACAAAGATAATCCCTAAATTCTTTCGGTATTTAGACAAACAAATAAAACCCAACTGTTTATTTATATCTATGACAATAAGAAATTTCTTTGAGGGAAGAGTTGGCTATTTTTAGGTTTTTATTTTTCAGAAGTTCTTAAGCCCTTCACAAAACCCCAGACGCAAAGCTGCGATTCTGCTTGAAAAATAGAATGCGATTTCTTAATGCACCAGTTGTCCAAGTGTGGTCCTTGCACCCCCAGCATTAGCATCACCTGGGAACTTGTTAGAACGATAACTTCTCAGGCCCTACCCCAGACCTCCTAAATCAGAACTCCTGGGGGTGGACCCCAGCAATCTGTGTTTTAGAAAGCCCTCAGGTGATTCTGATGCATATTAAAATTTGAGAATAACTGCCCTAATATAATGCAGTCCAACCACTATTTGCTGTTTGAATATTAACATCCACTTACGTCAGATTATTAAATTCTTTCCCTCAATTGAAATTCTTGGGTAATTGGTATGCATCCTCATTTGAAAATCATTTTTCAAAAAGTATGAAATAGCAATTTTATTAAAACTATGTAGATTTATTCTTTGAAATTCTGTCTATAAACTACTGCAATTGCAAATGATTTATTAATATTTCATACTCAGATCTGAGTGTCTTTTTGTGTTGTTTTATAGAACGAACCAAAGAATTTGCAGAAAAGAAATATAATAGCATTACAGTTAAATCAACCAACTCCAAGCCTTCCAGAGTCTTCAAATAACCGGAATTTTAATAAGACA